CACAAATGAATTTACTAATAGAAAACAGTGAACCGGCTTTCCTTTCTGAGGCCAATGTACAGATGATGACAGGAGCTATGATATAGGAATTCATAGTAGAATTAAGACTGATCCCAACCAAAAACAAATAAATAAATAAATCAACATCCTCAACCAAGTTTTCTAAGAAATAGAACTCAAAATAAACTTTTTCTATAAAAAAAACAAAAAAAACTATGATCTGGAAAGAGTGCACTGATGGCAACAACCCAGAATCCATCATAAACATTTGGGATGTGGAATTCGTAAATAGTAAACATTTTAAATAGCTTAGTATATGGATCACTTATAACAAATTTAGTATAGGGGATAAGGAAACTGAACATAAAATAGGTTGGACTAGAAGTAGTAATGCAAAAAAAAAAAAAAAAAAAAAAAATCAAGTAATGTTCTTAATAATCTCATCAGATCAAAACTTTCATATGGCACCAAACCTGTTCAGAAATGTCTAAACTGTCAGCCATATACAACCGCTTTCTCAGATCAATGATTAAAAATCATTGGCTTTGAGTGAATGAAGCCTGTAACTCTTAGCAAGGATCATACTTCTCCAAACCTTGTGGAATGGTACTACAGAATCATAAAGAACTCTACTGAATAACAGAAACCATATCACTTGAAGACTTTCAATAACAGCAACAAGGAAAATGGATATCATGTGTAACTCAAAGAGAAAGAAAATGATATAATCCAGATGTTGACATTTTACACTATTTCAAACAAAAATATTAGTAAGAAAGCACCCATCGATACTGGAAAGAGCAATAATAGTGAACTTGAGAAATTTACTTTCCTGAAAAATTGTTTTATTAAAAAAATTTTACAAATTTTAACTGAAAGTAGCTCTGGCTGCTTAGTCAATGAATGACAAATATTTCTTTATAAGGAAATAGCTAATATTAACATTATCATATCAGGTTCAAATTTAAAAAATTCTTACCAGCCCAAATTTAACAAATTCCTTCTCACCATAGGCAACTCAGTTCCATACATTTAGTATCTAGAATAATCTTGTTTACTAAGTAACCAATAAGTACATTAAATCTTTCACATATGCTGTTGTTCCAATTATTTGATGCTATCATCACCTTCATATTAAAAAGGTCTTACTCACTTCTTGCATTTCAATGAGAAGGGTAATATTTTTTTAAGCACCAAAAAGCATTGTCCAATATGAAAGAACTTTAATAAAAAAAAAAAGTAAAAGCCAATTTTTGATTCATCACAATTGATTCACAAATAATCAAATAATAATCAAACCTACAATAACAAGAAATTAACTTTTGCCCTATATTTTCAGATCCAAACTCAGTTTCGTCAAATGTTATTATAATAAGACAGTCAACAGGTTTAGGAAGTTCTCAGATTTAACACTGTTCTACTATAAAATTTCTTGTTTTAAGTTCATGACTTAATTGTGTCAACTTAATAAATTGCTTGAGATTAAAGTGACTAAACTGTTTATGTTTATGTCATCATCTGTACACCGGCATGTGTATTCTGAGCTTCACTGTTTCAGAAAGATAATTACATCATTGGAATCCTTAATTAGTTGCAAACAGAGAAGGGAAACTGACTTTTTTTTTTTTTTTTTAAAGCATTTCACCCCAAGCAAGGCAGGAAGCCACTTGGATGCAACGGGTTACAGAAGATTTGGAGCAAGATCAGATAGGAATGATAGAGGAAAGGATGAGGAGAAGGATAGTGGATAGATCAAGGCAACTGGAGATGTCGATTGACGTTACATTTGAATAGTTGGAGATTATAGCTCTCAGGGAGATTGGAATAGGGAAGGGAGTTCCACAGGCGGGATGTGCGAAATATGAAGCTATTGGAGTAGAAGAGATGGCTACATTTAATAGTTTCAACAGTGAAAGGGTGAGAGTGGGATGACAGCCTCATAGGGCACTTGAATTCATGAAGTCTGGGAACCAGCGAATGTTGCTCCTTGGAGCAATTACCATGAAGGTATTTGTAAAAAAGACAGAGAGAGGCGACAGCACATCTGTGAGAGTGTGACTGTAGACAAGATGCCAGAACAGGGCCAATTATATTGCATATCCGCCTCTGGATCTTATCAAGAACCCCGAGGCAAACAGAAGGGGCTCCAGACCATTTATAGCAGCAATACTCCATGCAAGGGCGAATTGTTGATTTGTAGATCTGGAGGATCGATTACGGGGAGAAAAATTTCCTGGCACAGCACAGGGAGAAAAATTTCCTGGCACAGCACAGGGAGACAACTTTCCTTGCAGTGGATGAAGCAATTGACTCAATTTATTTGTTCAATCTCAGGTCAGCAGTCAACGTGAGACTGAGCAGCTGCAGAGAGGTGCTCTTGAGAAGTTGAGCGTCAGACATTCTAATGGAGGGCAGGGAAGGATCTCTGTGGTGATTAAAACAGAGCAGTTTTTTTTTTTTTTTTGAGGCATTAAAGTTGACCAGCCAATTCCTGTCCCAGTTCACAACAGATTGGAGGTCCTTTTCGAGACGCACGGCCAGCTTAGTTTTGTCAGTGACACTAGATTTGTTTTTGAGGCAGGAGTAAATTGTGGTGTCATCCACGCAGATACCAACTTGGGAATTTATGGTGTCAGAAAGGTCATTTATAAAGATAAGGAATAGAGTAGGGCCCAGAATGGACCTTTGAGGAACACCTGCATTCGTGGGATAGGAACTGGAAGAGAATCTGTTGAGAAAGACCTTCAATTCACAGTTTGACAGGAATGATTGTATTAGGTCAAACAATCAACCTTGTAATGCCATAACCCTGGAACTTGCGAAGAAGGCCAGCATGCAAAACCCAATCAAACGCTTTGGAGATGTCTAGGGCCATGGCACAAGCTTCCCCGTTATTTTGAAGAGCTTGGTAGACAGTTTCAGTGATGGCTGTAAGCACATCAGCTGTAGATTGGGCAAAGCGGAAGCCATATTGCTTGTCTGAGAACAGATCATAGGATGTAAAGTGGTTAACCACTTCAGCATTGATTAGGGCTTTAAAGACTTTGCCAAAGAGGGGTAGGAGACTGATAGGATGGTAAATAGAAGGGTCAGAGGGGTCGCCAGAGTTCTTGAAGACAGGAACAATCAAAGAGGACTTCCAGCAGTCAGGAAAACAAGATTCCTTGAGGCAGTAGTTATATAGTGTAGAGAGGGTGGGCGCCAGTTCAACTGCGCATTTCAACAAGACAATGGCTGGTATCCCATCCCCACCACTAGCCTCGTTGGGGTCTAAATGGGAGATAACGCTACGAAATAGGTGAAAGAAGTGGTTCATATGGGCAATGGCGGCTGAGCAAGCAATGGAGAACCAAGTGGAGGAGTGTGACTTGACCCTATATTTCCTTGAGGGGATGAAAGCATCGATTCCAACTTTAACCCACGATGGGACCTCAGAAGCACATTCTTGGACAGGGAGCATAAAGACAACATCCCAGGGGACATCGTGGAGGAAATCATGGAATGAGTCCCAGTCAGCTCATTGATAGTAGAACGAAGTTCTAGTGGTAGGAGGTTCTTTGCAGGGGGTGGAGTTGAAGGAGACTTAAGGTAGTAGATTGCTGTTTAATCATTTTCTTCCTCAGAGCATCATTCTCAAAATTCAAAATCATTTCTCCATATATTTCTCATGTAAAAGTAACAAGTAAGTTACATTTAACAGCATCAGTAGTTATATCAGTCACCATAACTCCAATAAGAGTCAATTTCTTTTGCATAGAAGATACCAAAAGTGAATAATGAAGCAGAAGTCTTTTCCTGGACTAATCATGGTTCATACCCACTTTTTAGGGGGTTAAATACTGCTGAAGCCACTTCATTCAACATATAGTAGTAGTTGGACATACCTAAAATTCAAAACAGCTTGTCTTTTTGCATCTTTTACTAAAGACTGCTATTGTGCATTAAGAGAAGCATCATTAGTATAACTCATAAACCAAGTAAATAACTCATACTTGAGGTCATTTATGAGCCAAATCAAATTATCACCTTCACATGTCTATCTTGATTTAAATGATTCACTTGATGACCATGTGACAGCAGCACAGAAGATTAACAAAACATTGACACTCGATTAGCTCAGTCAAAATGAGCGCCACCTGCTAGAGAATATAGATGACCATGCTAGTTCCTACATGTACATACAATCTCATTAGATGACCAATTTTCAACACAAAATACAGCTTCAGCTTTAACCTCAGATGGAGAAAAGAAAGTGGGGTAAAATTTGATGCCCCAGAAATCACAAAGATTATGTCCAAGTAAACTACTACAATTAAAGTAAACTACATATTGTTATGTTACATTTTGAACTGCTGACATTACAAGATTAGGGGCACTTTGGGAAGTTGACAGGATTCTAATAAATCCCATAACAGGATCAGGAAGTTTCAAATCTTGTGTAAACTTAAAAATATATGTGCTCAATCTCACTGGTGCTTACAGTACTGAACCAGCACAATGTATACATCAGGATCAACCCTTAGAACATTAATACATTGAATACTGACTGTAGAATGATTGACGTGGTGTTGATGTTACAAGCTTGATGTCCTTGGCATCTGTGAAATCCTTCCTGATGCACCAATGGAAGATGACCAAATTAGTATTAAATCTAACACCTCAACAGACAAGAGTAACCTACAATTCAGTCAGGGAGAGAGGCAGGTACTAAATGAAATATGTGTCCGATAAAAAAAGTTGATGAGGAGGAGGTTGATTAGAGAGAGAGAAACAGATATTACACATCAGGTGAATTGTAGTGATAGAAACAACAGTAATAAGAGAATACTAATCAGAATAGCTCATTTGATAAATGCAATAAATGCATTACAAGTAAATATTTGATGTAATTTTAGTCAGACATAAAACATTCTGATGTACAAACTCTAAGATATTTGAAGGAAACTCTTCCACAATCCAACATAGTTTTTCATTAAATAGCAGAAATAAATGTAACTAAC